GGAACATGTCGGAGTGCTGGGTACCTCTGTCCACGTCTTTCCTGACTCTCTGCAAAAGGAAAAGGGAGCCGTGACAAATGCCACGTGCTGTGCCAAGCCACGCAAGGCCCCCCAAGCTCGGGGTCCCGTTTTCCACGGAGGTGACTCGCTAGCCTTCAGACCAGCCTCAAAATCTGAAACACAACAGGATCCATCCAGACCGCCTCTGTACGAACAGAATAAATGACCACGGGCTGGGGACACCCCCGAGCTCTCCTCTCAGAGCTTCCTGTGGCTCTGAGCCGAGCCCTGCTCTGGATGGGCGGGGTTGTCGCAGGGACCCTCCTATCATTACACAGCCACCTTCCATCTCCAACCCCTGTGCCCTCAATTCCCATCGCCTTCCCAGTAATGGAATTCAAGCTTTGGCGCGAGGATCAAACAAACGCTCTGTGCAGAAGCCGGCACAGCCATTTAAAGAGCTTTCCTGAGCTGTAGACAGCACAGCCCACCTCCACCCCGGTCTGCTGCTTCAAACCAGGCTTATGACGCTGGGCAGACCACACACTTCCCTCTCCCGAGCAGCACCCCAGTCCTCACGCTGCACCTTCCACCTCAGTGTAGAAGGGTCTAGAGAGCGACCTGGAAAAACAGCTCTCCTCAGTGGCATGATCTCAGCAATTTCAACTTCTTTGCCTTTGTCCTTCAAATCCCCTATTTTTAATAAACTTGTAACTGCAGCATAGTTTTACATTTACAGAAAAACGGAGAAGGTACCGAGAGTTCCCACGTACACTGCAGCCTGTTTCCCCTCATTGCTAGCATCTTACGTTAGTGTGGTGCATCTGCCACAATTAACGAACCAACACTGACAAATGGCTATTAACTGAAGCCCACAGTTTATTCACATTTCCTTAGTTTTCCCGAATGCCCTTTTCCTGTCCCAGGATCCACGTTACATGGAGTTGTCATGAATCCTTAAGCCTCTTGAGCCGAGAGGGTTGCTCAGACTTGCCTTGTTTTTGGTGACACTGAGGAGGGCCAGTCACGTGTTTTGTAGGGTCCCCTCTACCGGGACTCGTCTGACACTGTTCTCACAATTGGACAGGGCTGTGGATTTTGGGTGGTAGATCCCAGAGGTCCAGTGCCCTTCCCATCACATCCTATCAAGGGTACATGCTGTCACCAAGACCCATCCCTGCCGACGTGGACCTTGGTCACCTGGCTGAGGTGTGTTTCTCAGGTTTCTCCACTGTGGAGTTCCTGCCCCGCCCCAACATTCCAGCCTGTCCTCCTTGGAAGCGCGTCAGTCTGCGCAGCCCCCTCTTAAGGAGGGGGTCGTGCTCCACCCTCTGGAGGGTGGAGGTTCCACCTTTGTGTGGAATGCTGCACAGCGCGATGTGTCTTCTCCCCGTGCATTTAATCTATTCAATCACTGGTTTGCGGCTGCGTGGGCTCGTGGATATTTGGCCCCTGTGCACCGCAGTCCAACACGACTTTACTCACTCTGCTGCTCGGAGCTCTGGCCCAGTCCCCTGGGAGCCCTTTCCGGCGGCTGCTGCGTGGGCTCGTGGGTATTGGGCCCCTGTGCACCGCAGCCCGACACGACTCTACTCACTCTGCTGCTCAGAGCTCCGGCCCAGTCCCCCGGCAGCTCCCGAGCCGCTGATGCACCCCATCAGCACAGGTTTCTTACACGCGCTTCCTTGGGCTCTGGCGCTACAAGCAGCTCCGGGAGCACCTTGCACACTTCTCGCCCCAATTCCAGAATCGGCTACTTCCCCGAGCAGCCCTGCTTACTTCGTGGAGATGGTCCTAGAATCCAAGATCTGGGCACAAGGTATCCTGACTGCTGCTGGGTGGTGGTGTTCTGTTCTGTGAGCCGACAGAGCCAGGGAATACATGTGAATAATTCACTTGGTTTTGTTTAACTAACGAGTATGTATTGTGTCTACTGTAAGGGGGAAAACCTATTTTCCTTTTGGAAAACAAACAATCCAATTGTCCGTGGGCCGGACATGTGAGCTGACCGCCCCAGAGCCAAGGAGGGTCAGCGTCAGTCACGCGTGGGAAGCAGCCATCTCTAGGAAAGGAGAGCTAGGCGCACGCCTCTTCTGCTCCCCTCTGGAGACAGGTGCACAGCTCACGTGGTGCATCTCTGCACGTCACAGCTCCTGAGACTCTGCACATTCCTCTTTTCCAGCGGCCGAGCAGGGGGAGTGGCTGCCACTCCCAGGCCCACCCTTCCAGGCCAAAGCCCAGCACTCTCAGGAACTAAATCCACACAAGGGGCTTCCCTGGTGGCACAGTGGTTAAGAATCCGCCTGCCAATCCAGGGGACACGGGTTCGAGCCCTGGTCCGGGACGATCCCACATGCCGCAGAGCAACTAAGCGCATGCGCCACAACTACTGAGCCTGCGCTCTAGAGCTCGCGTGCTGCAACTACTGAAGTCCGGGCGCCTAGAGCCCATGCTCCACAACAAGAGAAGCCACCACAATGAGAAGCCTGCGCACCGCAACGAAGAGAAGCCCCCGCTCACCGCAACCAGAGAAAGCCCGCGCGCAGCAACGAAGACCCAATACAGCCAAAAATAAATAAATAAAATAAATAAATTTTAAAAAAATAAATCCACACGAGGCCTTGCCCACTGGCCACACACGGCAGGAATTCAGTGCCGTCTGCTTGTGTCGCAAACTTGATCACAGCCGGGCTCCAGCCCTTCCCTCTCAGCCCCTTGCCCTGCTGCACCTGCGGGCATCCACGGCACTGCTCCGCCAACAGCAATCATCCTTCCTTAGAACCAACGAGCTGAGGGAAACTTTCATGCTGTCACATTTAAATACACCCCCCGAGGCCCGTACGCCAGAGCCCTCCCTGAGAACGCCGCTCTGCCTGCCCGGGGCCACGGCTTCCACACTGTGGCCGGCGTGGCAGAGCCCGGGGCTGGGGAGGCAAGGAGGCTGCAACCGAGGGCTCCCCATGAAGCATGTAACTCCCACTCCACCTCCCCTTCCTGACAGGGGTGATGAGAGGCCCGTGCGCTAGTCCCGCACCCAGTGGCCTGCGCCGTCCTTCCAGTAACGCGCGTCACACTGGCCAGACACTCACTCTCCTCACTGGACTAGAAGAGGACGCAGAATGTGCGTGAACCTCTGGAGCTGTCAAACTTCCCCCAGGGCGTGCAAGGCTCTGAGCGGGGTCTCAGCTCCTCCCCAAGGGGGAGTGGACGCTAACGCCACGGAGCGGTGACTTGGGTGTGCACTTGACAGAGCATTCCTTCCGCTGCTCGCAAATCTCTGTCTCATACAGTATTAATGGAACCCAAAGACATCTGAGAGAGACGTGTACCAAGGGTCGCAACACTACGCTGCTCCTGTGGAGGGCGTTCCCACCCAGAAGAACCCCAGTATCACACCCACGCCTTTATCACCAACTCTGGTAAATCCCCCGTGAGTGCAAACAGAGCAGCTTCTCACTGCCATCAAATGCCGAAGGCCTGGCGTGAGTGGCCCCTGAATCAAAGGGACTTGGATCATCCCCCAGCTGTCCGTGTGGCTGCAGAAAAGCAGCATTTGGGAATTAGGCACTGCTTTGATTAAAGTGGCATCAGCTTAACAAGGGCTTGCTGTTCATCATTCGGTTTTGCTCTGAGGAGCACCTACTGTGATAAAGCATCAGTTCTGGGCACTGTGCACAGCTTCTGGCGACAGCCGCCTGTTTTGCAGGGCCCTCCCAACTGTCATGCGTCTAGCCACGCCCCAGGCAGGTCATAACCACAAATCCCAAGTCAGTTTTCCTTTCCAGAACAAGGGCTGGCCGCTGGCTGAGTGGGGGTGCGGCAGGGTGGAAGGAGGTGGCCGGGGCACCTCCCTGCCACAGCCATCATTTACGCTGCATGTTTCGGAGGCATGTGGATGAGAACGCAACGTGACTGTAAAGAACCTTAGTATGTTCACACAGGAGCAGATCAACACCACCTCTGTCCATTTCTCATTCAACATAAAGGACTGTTCATATTAATCTAATGAACTATTATTTGAAATTTTCATCGCTGGTGAAACTGAAAAGGCAGCAGACAGAAGTCACTCTGCATCCCACACGCGCGTCTTACCTGCTTCGAGTAGCCCCCGTAGATGATGATGCTGCCCTGGGCGGTGACGGTCATCAGGCAGCCTGACCTGGGTGTGGGCCCAGTCCCAGACGGGGACAGCCTGCTCCACGTGAAAGTGTCCAGGTTGAAGGCATACAGGTCATTGTAATAGATGTAATCTCTGCTATAATATAGGAACACAAACAAAAAGGCGGTGACATGAAAAAGTGAACTTGATTTAAAATAAAGGTACATTTGCTACCTTATGTACTAAGTTATTGGCTTAATTAAAGTTTAAATTCATAGGAAAGGACAGCAAGCATATGTGGCTTTGCACCTGAAGCCAGAAATAACGCTGGCCCAGAGCAGCACTGTAACATGCCTGGATCCGAAAGTCTTTGCATTCTGCAAGTTACGTGATACATCCTTACACAGTTTATACAATCACAGTCTTGCAAACAACTACATTAGTTTTCTGTATGTGGAACTTTAAGCGGGACAGTGAACTAGGTACCAATACCCTGCATCCTCAGAAGGGAGATATTAACAGCTTGGCAAGGGCTGTGGAGACCCCAGGCTGGGCAGAGACGGGGCAAAGCGTTCCTGGAACTGAGAGAGGAGAACTCCTGGAGCCCACACGTCCGAGCCAAAGCCCAGAGGCCATGGCTGAGGCATCCAACAGGCACAGCGGCCTTGCCTTGCTGAATGCTCCTGGGGCTTCAGGGGCAAAGGACTCAAAACACACATGGCGCCTTGAGGAGGGAGCACGTGTGTGAGGGAAGCAGCGGTTCTGCCAGAGACACAGAGGCAACCGTGTGTCCTGAGGGGAATTTCACAGGTGGCCACGGGCAAAGCCAAGGGGCCTCGGGTCAGAATTACACAGAAGAATGAGAGATGCTCCCCAGCTACTCCACACGGAGAGCTGGGCCCGATGTTCGCAGGAAGAAAGCATGGACGCACGGAGGGACCGAGCGGCCCCACCGGTCAGACATGATTCCTGACTCTCCTGCTGCACTCAGATTACCCAAGTCTGGCGCCCTACAGCCAACGTGCAGGTCACTGTGCTCCCCGGAATGCTGTCCAAAGCAGGGCACTGGGAACAGGATGAGCCAGGTGAACTCTCCACCAAACACATCATTCCGTGGCAGGAGGGCTTTTAGTAGACGAACTGAGGAACCAGAGGCACGGTTTTTAAAAGACTTCACCACATTCCACAGTTTTCTCAGATTTCACGTTGCAAATTTCCAGGACAAAAAATATTCTGTTCTGCACGTAGGGTAAATAACAACTGTCATTGGGTTTTAAAGATCAAACTGTACTTTGTTCGATATGGGTGGTGGCCACGGATGCCTGTTTGAGGAGCTTCAGCTTTTCTACATGTTTGAAGTACTTCACGAAGAATAATTTTAAACGAAGTAACAGATAATAGCTTTGAAAAACGTTCTGAGTTTGAAATGGTTCCAAGTTACAACCACTGTAAAACGTGACTCATTTTGTAACCTGTGAGTTTCAGGAGAAGGGCCTGTGTAGACCCCGCTCACTGTCCCGCACACAACAGGTGCTGAATTAACACACTGACGTCTCGTGAACCCCCGTGTCTGCAATGGCAATCAATTATTTGCTTTGTAAAGGGTTTTAAATGTAAACAACAATCCTTTAAATAAGAATTTTAAAAAACAGAGCAGGCTCTCTTCTCCAAAATGGCAAGAAACCAAACACCTGCATGTCAGGAAATGGACCACGGACAGGAGATGGACCAGGACAGGGCAGGGAGCCGGGGTGGGGGCAGGAGACGGACCAGGGGTAGGAGATTAACCAGGACAGAAAACCAGGGTGTAGGCAAGAGACAAACCAGGAGCAGGAGACATTACCAGGGGCAGGGAGCCGAGGGGTGCAGCGCGACAGAATATGGGAGTAACTGACCTGCCACAATCTTTGGTCGAGGACAAGTTCTACTACTTGCAGTTATCTTGGTTTCCTCACCTTTAAATTGAGCTAATAACCTACCCTCCCCAATAGCTTGGTTTTTAAGTGAATTCTATAAAAACCACTTGGTGAACTTTGTGACGAGACATGAAATTTAAACACTATTATACCCAGATTATGCCTTTAAGATACACAATCATTCCTTGTTTTATGTGAATTCGACTTTAAAAATCTCCTCCCAAGGCACTTAAGAATTATACCCTGGGAGGCCTTCAAGATGGTGGAAGAGTAAGACGCGGAGATCACCTTCCTCCCCACAGATACACCAGAAATGCATCTGCATGTGGAACAACTCCTACAGAACACCTACTGAACGCTGGCAGAAGACCTCAGACCTCCCAAAAGGCAAGAAAACCCCCACGTACCTGGGTAGGGCAAAAGGAAAAAGAAAAAACAGAGACAAAAGAATACAGACAGGACCTGCACCAGTGGAAGGGAGCTGTGAAGGAGGAAAGGTTTCCACACAGCAGAAGCCCCTTCGCGGGCGGAGGCGGGGGATGGCGGGGGAAGCTCCGGAGCCGCGGGGGAGAGCGCAGAGCGAAGAGATGCCGGCACAGAGGGTCGACGCCAACCGGCACTCACCAGCCCGACAGGCTTGTGCTCAATGGCCGGGGGGGGGGGGGGGCGGGGCCAGGGAGAGGACGGGGGTTGGCTGCGTGAACACTGCCTGAAGGGGGCTAGTGCGCCACAGCTACCGGGAGGGAGTCCGGGAAAAAGTCTGGAACTGCCTAGGAGGCAAGAGACCATTGTTTCGGGGTGCGCGAGGAGAGGGGATGCAGAGCACCGCCTAAACGAGCTCCAGAGACGGGCGCGAGCCACAGCTATCAGCGCGGACACCAGAGACGGGCATGAGATGCTAAGGCTGCTGCTGCCTCCACCAAGAAGCCTGTGTAGGAACACAGGTCACTATCCACACCTCCCCTCCCGGGAGCCTGTGCAGCCTGCCACTGCCATGGTCCCCTGATCCAGGGGCAACTTCCCCGGGAGAACACACCGCGCGGCTCAGGCTGATGCAACATCATGCTGCCCGCGGCAGGCTCGCCCCGAACTCCCGTGCCCCTCCCTCCCCCCAGGCCTGAGTGAGCCGGAGCCCCCGAGTCAGCCCCCCCCCCCGACCTGTCTGAGCGTCTGAGCTTCTGAGCGTCTGAGCAGGAACAGATGTCCTCGGGGGACCTACACGCAGAGGCGGGGCCAGATCCACAGCTAAGCCCCGGGAGCTGTGAGAACAAAGAAGAGAAAGGGAAATCCCTCCCAGCAGCCTCAGGAGCAAATCTCCACAGTCAACTTGATATACCTGCATCTGTGGAATACCTGAATAGACAACGAATCATCCCAAATTGAGGCAGTGCACTTTGGGAGCAACGATATTTGTATTTTTTTTTTTCTCTTTTGTGGGTGTGTATGTGTAATGCTTCTGTGTGTGATTTTCTCTGTATAGCTTTGCTTTTACCATTTATCCTAGGGTTTTTGTCTGTCAGGGGTTTTTTTTGGTTTCTTTAGTATAGATTTTAGTGCTTGTTATCACTGGTGGATTTGTTTTTTGGTTTGGTTGCTCTCTTCTTTCTTTCTTTTTTTAAATTACTTTTTAATTTAAAATAATTATTGTTTATTTTAATAACTTTATTATTTATTTCTTTTCTTTCCTTCTTTTTTTCTCCCTTTTATTCTGAGCCATGTGGATGACAGGGTCTTGGTGCTCCGGCCAGGTGTCAGGCCTGTGCCTCTGAGGTGGGAGAGCCTAGGTCAGGACATTGGTCCACCAGAGACCTCCCAGCTCCACGTAATATCAAACAGCGAAAATCTCCCAGAGATCTCCATCTCAACACCAAGACCCAGCTCCACTCAACAACCAGCAAGCTACAGTGCTGCACACTCTATGCCAAACAACTAGCAAGACAGGAACACAACTCCACACATTAGCAGAGAGGCTGCCTAAAATCATAAGGTCACAGACACCCCAAAACACACAACCAGACGCAGACCTGCCTGAGAGAAAGACAAGGTCCAGCCTCATCCACCAGAACACAGGCACTAGTCCCCTCCACCAGGAAGCCTACACAACCCACTGAACCAACCTTAGCCACTGGGGGCAGACACCAAAAACAACGGAAACTATGAACCTGCAGCCTGCAAAAAGGAGACCCCAAACACAGTAAGTGAAGCAAAATGAGAAGACAGAGAAACACACAGCAGATGAAGGAGCAAGGTAAAAACCCACCAGACCTAACAAATGAAGAGGAAATAGGCAGTCTGCCTGAAGAAGAATTCAGAGTAATGAGAGTAAAGATGATCCAAAAATCTTGGAAATAGAATGGAGAAAATACAATAAACGTTTAACAAGGACCTAGAAGAACTAAAGAGCAAACGAACAATGAACAACACAATAAATGAAATGAAAAATTCTCTAGAAGGGATCAATAGCAGAATAACTGAGGCAGAAGAATGGATAAGTGGCCTGGAAGATAAAATACTGGAAGTAACTACTGCAGAGCAGAATAAAGAAAAAAGAATGAAAAGAATTGAGGACAGGGGCTTCCCTGGTGGCACAGGGGTTAAGAATCTGCCTGCCAGTGCGGGAGATACGGGTTCAAGCCCTGGTCTGGGAAGATCCCACATGCCGCGGAGCAACTAAGCCCGTGCACCACAACTACTGAGCCTGCACCCCCGAGCCACAACTACTGAGCCCATGTACCACAAGTGCTGAAGGCCGTGCACCTAGAGCCCGTGCTCCCAACAACAGAAGCCACCACAATGAGGAGCCTGCACACTGCAACGAAGAGTAGCCCCTGCTTGCAGCAACTAGAGAAAGCCCACGTGCAGCAACAAAGACCCAACGCAGCCAAAAATTAAAATAAATAAAATAAATTTATTAAAAAAAATTAAAAAGAATTGAGGACAGTCTCAGAGACCTCTGGAAAACATTAAACGCACCAACGCACCAACATTCAAATAACCCCACCAACATTAGGGGTCCCAGAAGAAGAGGAGAAAAAGAAAGGGACTGAGAAAACATTTGAAGAGACTACAGTTGAAAACTTCCCTAATATGGGAAAGGAAATACTTAATCAAGTCCAGGAAGCACAGAGAGTCCCATACAGGATAAACCCAAGGAGAAAAACACCAAGACACATATTAATCAAACTATCAAAAATTAAATACAAAGAAAAAAATATTAAAAGCAGCAAGGGAAAAACA